CTCACTCTTCATGGGATCAAGTCCCAAGTCGGGCTCTGTGCTGACAGTGAGAAGCCTATTCCGGGTTCTCTCTCTCTTCCTCTCTCTGCCTCTGCCCCACTCCGTCTCCTCTCAAAATAAATAAATACACAATTTTAAAAAATTAACTTCCTCAATAGGTTTGATTAAAACATTTTTTATGAGGGGCACCTGGGTGGCTCAGTCAGTTAAACGCCTGACTTTTGGTTTCAGCTCAAATCACAATCTCTGTTTTTAAACATTTTAAAAAATAAAATATTTTTTATGAATGAGAACTCTAACATCAATTAAAAAAACCCTGAATATCCATGCCTGCTTTCCTGCCCACAAATCTTTTAACTCCCATGTTCACACACTTCCAAAGAAAACAATTTGATTAAAGTCTTCATATAAAATTTCAATTTTGTTACTGCTTTAAGTGCTGATTCACTGGGGAAAAGTTAATTTGAAAATTCTTGGTGGTCTCCCTCACCTCAACGTCTAATCACCCCAATTTTTTAAGCAAAAAGCCACAGAAAAGCAGTCATAACGTCACATAAATCTTCCCAGCAACAATATTCTCCTCAGCTCATTCTCTTCCGATAAGCTTCTATAGTGCAAGAGGGAAAGCAAAGATGAAAAGGTTGCATCTTTATTTTTATGTGCAATCTCCCTCCACTTGATCATGCTAAATAAACTCTCACTTTGAAAAAAATGGCGATAAGAAACAAAGCCCACAGAATCACTTGGAACTAAATTTCTAAGGAAAGGGTTTTAAACCACTTATCAGGAAAGTTGTGTTGTTATTTTTTTAATTACTCAAAGCAATCATGTTTATTTTAAAAGAATCAGAACCTGCACAAAGACATGAAAACACTAACATATTCTTCCCAAAAATAACATCACTCTCCAGATCACTTTGTATAAAAACTTCTGTTTTTAAAAATCACTAATTGGGGCGTCTGGGTGACTTAGTTGATTAAGCGTCCAACTCTTGATCTTGGCTCAGTTCATGATCTTGCAGTTGGTAAGTTGGACCCCCATATCCGGATCCACACTGACAGTGTGAAGCCTGCTTTAGATTCTCTCTCCCTCTCTCTCTCTGCCTCTCCTCCATTCACGCTGTCTCTGCCTCTCTCAAAATAAATAAATAAACTTTGAAAATATATTTTTAAAAAAATCACTGATTGGGGGGTGCCTGGCTGGCTCAGTTAGTAGAGCATACCACTCTTGATTTCAGGGTCACAAGTTCGAGCCCCACATTGGGTATAGAGATTACTTAAAAATAAAACCTTAAAAAAACAACCACCAATTTACAAATAAATTATTCATAGAGGTGCCTGCCTGGCTCAGTCAGTTAAACACCTGACTTCGGCTCAGGTCACCATCTCACGGTCCATGAGTTCAGGCCCACATCAGGCTCTGTGCTGAGAGCTCAGAGTCTGGAGTCTGCTTCACATTCCATATCTCTCTTTCTCTGCCCCTCCCCTGCTTGCTCGCTCTCTCTCTCAAAAATAAATAATAAACATTAAAAAAAAAAAAAGAAAATCATTCTAGACCAAGGGAACAGCATTGGCAAAAGCATCACATAGGACTTGCATAAGGAACAGAAAGATGTAAGTTGAGCAGAGAACCCACAGGGAAGAGTAGCAAGTAATAAGATGATCGATTTCTTGATTAGCATTTGAAACTGATCATAAATTTATCTAAAATCAGCCCTCCTTTATGTTGTTTTTAATTTTTGTTTTTGTGAGAGAGAGCAGGAGGCCAGGAGAGTGGCAGAACAGGGAGGGAGGGAGGGAGGAAGAGAGAGATAGACAGGTGGAGAGATAGGGAGAGGGAGAATCTCAAGCAGGCTCCCGGCTCAGCGAGGACTTGATCCCACTACTCTGGGATCATGACCAGAACCGAAATTGAGAGTTGGATGCTCAACCGACTGAGCCACCCAGGCACCCCTTCTTTACGTTGTTTTTAAAGACTCACAAAAATAGCAGACTAACTACAAACACAAAAATTCAAATAAAAGCAAAGAAAAACACAGAAAGTATTCAAATTAAGTAATATCATTAGAATACAGATTAAATTTCTTATCCCTTGCTGAGTATTCCTGCAAGCAAGAGATTAAAGTACTTCACACCCCCTAAAACATTCTCACCATTTATATACCCTCCTAAATTTCCACAAAGGTGCTCAGAATTTACTTTACACTTTCTAGTGATGGACAATTTCTAGGCTTTCAAATACTTTTGCTGTAAATACCCAGAGGCACTTTTGCTGTAATAGCAGACTCTTAGGCTCCCTATTAAAGGCCACAAACAGAGCACTCACCAAAAATTAAATACAGAATTCATTTCTGCATGTTGGCCTAAGAAAGACTGAATTTCTGGAGACTGGATAAAACTTGATTTATCATCTTACATGAAAAGTGAGAACAAGGTGGTTTTATGTTTGTGGTCTGGGAATTGGCTCATCTAGCATTTCATCAATGCTCTCTATTCTCAGGTCATGGCTCTTTGCCCAAAGGTTTCCTTATAGAGAATTTACGGACATGTTTGAAAAAGTGTAAGTTGCCAAAAAAGTCATCGGACAACTTATTTTTTAAAAGTCATTTACTGGGGCGCATAGGTGGCTCAGTCAGTTAAGCGTCTGATTCTTGGTTTCTGTTCAGGTAAATCTCAGGGTTCGTGGGTTAGAGCCCTGTGTTGGGCTTCTCATTGACAGTGTGGAGTCTGTTTGGGATTCTCTCTCTCTCTGCCCCTCCTCTGCTCATGCTCTCCCTCACTCTCTCAAGAATAAATTTTTTGAAAAAGTCACTTATGAAATTAATATACAGTCCAGTGCCTAGCAGTTAGTCAGTTTTATTTTCGGATTCTGCAACCTGTGGCTGATGTTTTTCTTAGCACACGTGATCCTGGGCTTTTGCCATGTTCACATGGCCCTAAAGGAGTTTAAAACTGGAGGGAGCATTTCTTCTATCCAAGGTGATAGGTCATGCTGGGGTTGCTCCTCACCTGTGTATAGAGGTATATATGTCTCCTCCCAGGACATCCAAATACTGGGAAGGGTATGAATGAGGATTAAGACACAGCATGCCATTGCAGTAGCAGTACAACACCCCTGTTCTATGAACAGTGCTAATAAACTACTAGAAATTGCAATCCCGTCTTTTTTTTTTAAGTTTATTTATTTTGAGACAGAGAAGAGAGCAAGCAAACACACAGGAGGGGCAGAGAGAGAGAGAATCCCAAGGAGGCTCCATGCAGTCAGCACAGAGCCCAATGTGGGGCTCGAACTCAGGAACCGTGAGATCATGACCTGAGCTGAAATCAAGAGTGGACGTTTAACCAACTGAGTAACCTAGGCGTCCCACAATCCCATCTTTAGATTTTTTTCAATCCCTTTCCTTCCTATGGACTTGGAAATACTCTTGAAACAAAGTCCATTCCGCTTAGCAAATCCAATGCCATGGCTCGGAGACAAATGGACCACAAAATTGGAACTAAAAATCATCACTATAATCAAGCTTTTAAAAAAAGAAGTGGGGCTCCTGGGTGGCTCAGTGAGTGGAGTGTCGGACCTGATTTCAGCTCAGGTCACGATCTCAGGGTCCTGGGAACCAGCCCCGCACTAACCACGTGCCTAAGCGTGGATCCTACTTAAGATCTTCCCCCTCCCCCGCCTCTCTCTCTCTCTGCCCCTCTCTCCTACTCTGGTGCGCGCTCTCTCTAAAATAAATTTTTTAAGAAAATATTTCTGAAGGAGAAGAAAAAGAACTATTTGACCTAATACAAAGGTATATATGGCAAAAAAGTTTCAATTAGGACTAAGAAATAAGCTGCGAAACAAATCTGACATCCTAATAACTTTTCAAGCATTTCTGAAAGAGAACATACTATTGGTTCAATGATTACTTACTTAGCTTCCTTCTATCACCATGTATTTAGCTAGGTGTGCTAGATGCTCAGAAAACAAAGATGAAAAGGACACTTCCCCTGCATTAGTGAAGTTCAATGCCACAAATAATGCCAGCACAGCCTGAAAGCTTAGATCCTTGACTATCTCAAGAAGTCGAAGGCCTATCACTTGCTACTCCAGAGCTCCAAAAGGTTCACAGCCCTCACAGAGGTGAGGGCACCGAGGTCACTGCCGAAGATGCTAGGGTTAACCGCCGGCCAAGGGCACCTGTAAATTGCAGTCGGAACAAGGTTGCCCACAGTCATCTACACCTCCTCAACCCCGCCCCGCCCCCAATCCTCTTTACAAATAAACAGAGAGCTTTTACAGGGAACTGTCCAAGGTGATCACCTGACGCGGAGGCACGCTTTGGTGTGAGATCCCAATAAAATAAAACTGTACTCTCTATATTTACGGAGTGTTGCTATACAACATCTAAGTGCTGACGAGCTGTCAACCAAGGCACATAAGACAAAATAAAACCTTCTCTTTCAACAGGGCTAAGACGTCAAGAAGAAACTGACCGAAAGAGGGAGATCTCTAACTTCCCAAAGCAGCAACCCCCCTTGGAAAGGTACTGGAACCAGCGGAAGTTACATATCCAGGACAGAAGTGTTTAAACACCCCCCTCCACAGACACACACACGCACACCGTGGTAAAAGTTTGAACCGCCATCTGACTATCCTACGGTGGTCGGAAACTTCCCTAAACTACAAGCGAGAGCCAGCCACACTAAACTCGCCCTCAGTCAACCTCAGGTGCCCGCGGGCCAAGCTGCGGCTTCCTCCCCGGGCCTCGCCTCCTCATCTCCCTCCCTTCCCCCGGACACTCACGACCAGCCTCCGCTTCCGACGCCGGCCGGGGGTCCTGGGAACCTCGCGGCCGGGGATCGGCCCGGGGGAGGGGGGGCGGGCTTCGGCCTCAGGCCCGCCTCCGGGAGGCCCGGCGCGCCCCCCCCCACCTCCCTGTGTGGTCTCCGCAGGGTCAGGGCCTGTGAGGAACGACTTCTCTTTTTCACTTTCTCTTGCTATTGCCCCATTTAACAGACAGTTTTTAANTGCTTGCGCAGCGCCTTCTCCCGCTCGTACTGGGTGATGAGCTGCTCGTTGTCGTCCCGCAGCAGCTCCAGCTCCACCTGGTGCTCCTGGTCCTGCGCGAACACCGAGTCCAGGTTCTCCAGCACGGCCACCACCAGTGGCATCAGCTCCTTGACCACCTCCTCGTCGTAGCGCCCGATGAGCCGCTCGAACTCGCGGTAGATGGAGCCGGCCAGGCCGGACACCCGCTCCGACATCACGGCCCCGGAGCCGCCGGGCTCCTCCTGGTACACCACACCGTCCTCCAGCTCCATGGTGGCGGGCGGGCGGGCGGCCCGGGGCGTCGCCGGCTGAGGAGGGGGCACGGGCCCGCACGGGACGGGCCCGGCGGGGGCTGGGGCTGGGGCTGGGGCTGGGGCTGCGCCCGGCGGGGTGGGGGGCCCGGGCCCGCGGAGGGGAGGGGTGGGGTGAGCGCACTCAGCCCAACGGCCGCTGCACCAACTGCCGGGGCGGCCGGGCCGCGCGCGCCACACGTCACCTGCGGGGCGGGACCCGCGCCGCGTCGGCCCGATGGGCGGGGCCCCGCGGGAGGCCAGGCGCGGCCGGGGGCGGGGCCATGCGTCACCGTGCGCCGGCGGAGGGGGCGCCGTGGCGTCACCACTGGGCGCCGCGCGGCGGGCGCGTCCGCCAATGGGCAGGTCTGCGGGCGGAGGGTGGCGAGAGCTGTCAGCGCCGGGCGGGATTTGCAGGGCGGGTCCCAAAGGAAAGGGAGGGGTTCTGGAAGAGTGACTAGCAGTCCCGAATTAACATAGCTAACATTTCTATTGCCTTTTAAAGCTCACGAAGGGCTTTCTCATTTGTTCCTCACACCAGGCGTGGTGCGGTAGACGTTCGGCCTCCGTTTCACAGACGAGGAAAGGAGGCCCAGAAAAGTTGTGGTTCACTCAAGGTCACGCAGCGAGAACGGGAAGGAGCTGATGTGGGGCTCAGAGCAGTTCAGATTAAGACTCTCGGGCTCAGAGAAAAGTGGGAAACAGGGACAGGAAAAGCAAGCTTACTAAGGCGACGTCTCCCTGAGTGGTAAGGTGGTCTCGACAGAACTATTTGGGGACAACGAGACTAGGGATAGCCTGAAGCAGGGAAAGTGCAAAGCACGCTGGAGAAGGATAAAACTGCAACGCCACGTCTTGCGCTTTCCCAAACGCTGAGTTTCCGTGCTCCTCGCGTCCAGCTTGGGAGAGTGGCCTTTCCTGGCTCCAGCCAGCCTACTTTCCTCCGGTCTTGAAGAGGAGGAAAGCCGGGAAGTGAGGGGTTGGGGGGGTCCAGGAGGAAAGGGGTGGAGACTCTGGGGTGAATAAATCCCATGATATGTGAGATCTCCGCCGCCTGGGAGGGCATCACGTGTGGGGAATGACACAACACCCAAGCCTCCGGAGGCTGAGTCAAAGATCACCTTCCGGTCTTCGTTTGCCTCCTAGATGGGGCGGGGAGACACTCCCAAAAATTCCTTCCCTCCGCGGCAGGTGACTCAAGGCGTTTTGCGTCCGGTCTCTTCTAAGAATAGGGAAGAAAAGGCAGGACTTGGATAAACGAAGGTTTCGCGGGGGGAATTGACCACTCCCATGATCGGAAATACCCAGGACTTGTTTACAAGTTCAAGTTATTTCTACCAAGCATGAACTAGTCCCCCAAAGTCTTCCGATCTGCACCCACCTGGAGACACACACGCACCCCAAAAAAACATGGAAGTTGGACAAACGCCAACCTATAAACTCAGAAGGACAAAAAAGAAAATACCATAGGCTTATAGCAGTCTATACTGTCCTCCTTTCTCGCTTCACCCCACATCCACCCTTATGTTTGTGTGTGTGTCTGGGTCAACAGTCTTGCTCCAGACACTTCTTTTTTCCCTTCCTGGGGGGTTGTCACCTAGGTATTTACATACATACACATAAATATATATAGCTTTATTTTCCTGGGAGAGGAGCGGGAAAACCTAGGGTACAGCTGTACTTTGTCTTTCCACAATATTATCATACACACTAAAAAATTTAGTGGAGGGGTGCCTGGCTGGCTTAGTTTGTAGAACATGCTACTCTTGAGTTCCCAGTGGGTCCTGATTTCCAGCCCCACTTTGGGCATGGAGATAAGAGAAAGAAAGAAAGAGAGAGAGAGACAGAGGGAGGGAGGAAGAGAGGAAGGGAAGAAGAGAAAAAGAAAAAAGAAAATTTAGAGGGAAATGTTGATTTTTAGATATGAGATTATAATAAAGTTTTCATAAGTATGCTCCTTTAGGCATAAATTCAACATAGAAAGAATGTTGAAAGAACGTTGAAAGAAGAAAGATATGAGATATAAAGGCATCTGGGTGGCTCACTCAGTTGAACATCAGGCTCTTGATTTCAGGTGAGGTCATGATCCCAGAGTCTTGGGATTGAGCCTCTGTTGGGCTCTGTGCTGAACCTGGAGCCTGCTTCGGATTCTATGTCACTGTCTCTCTCTGCTCCCCCCACTCCCACCCCATTTGTGCTCTGTCTCTCTCTCTCTCACTCTCTCTCAAAAATAAATGAACATTAAAAAACTTTTAAGTGAATTATTGGGTGCTTGGGTGGCTCAGTCAGTTAAGCCTCCAATTTTGGCTCAGGTTATGATCTCATGGTTTGTGAGTTCAAGCCCCACATCAGGCTCTCTGCTGTCAGCGAACAGCTCGCTTTGGATCCTCTGTCCCCCTCTCTCTCTGCCCCTCCCCTGATTATGTTCCCTCTCTCAAAAATAAATAAACATTAAAAAATAATGAAAAGAAATTAAATAGTCAATTGTGAGGTGTGTGAATTATATCTCAGTAAAGCTGTTAAATGAAATTTATGACTAATGACTTTATAGTAAATTCAACAGAAGCGTGTAACAATATGATAGAGCAGAACGAAAATGTTTTTTAAATGGAAAACCTTACAGTTCTGGTATGGACTGGTATGGACTTGAACAACTGAGGCCAGAAACAAAAAAAAAGCATATAGTTACTGAGTACCTACTGTGTGCCATTCACTGCAATAAGGGTTATGAGCCTCAGCTTCAACTGCATAATGAAGATGTATGTTACAGAATCTGTAAAGATTTCCTGCAATTCTAAAATCCTATTCTCATTTGTAGGTAGGAGTGAAAGACAGGAGAGAGGGCCTTGAGATTTAGTTCCATTAGTCAACACCTAATTGTGTAGACAGTAATCCTACCTCCTATTGTAAACCACCTGGATAAATTTCCAGCACCCACCAGGGCTGAGATTATTGTTTAAGACTAAGAGTCATTCAGGAAAACAGGTCATGTTGTGAACTTTAGAGCAAATGTTTACTCTTGATTCCTGAAAGGAAGGAAACTCCATTTTAAGAGATTCTTTGGCCTTACAAAAATAGTGAGGACGCTAATGGGGGCAAGCAGAGGGGAGGAGTTGATGGGGGCAGGAAGGGAGGTGTTTCTTCCTAAGCACAATAACTATAATCACTGGAAGACTGAAATTACTAGTCCTGTTGTTTGTCTAGCCTTCTGGAACTTTTACAGTTATTTCTATGTGAATCAACTTCTCCGGTTTCACAAACTACATTTTCTCACAGGTGGAGAGAGGGTCACTGAAAGAAGAGGAAAGAGGACGCCCAGTGCCCAAGGCCCTCCACCTTGGGGGGTGAAATGAAATATGAAATGTCATATGAAATGATGAGTATTCACAGACTCGAGCACAAGCATGAACATCCTTGGTGAGAGAGTCTAGCTGTGGAATTCTCTTAAAAAGTTCCGGAGGACTTTTGTGAGCCCTCAGTTTTTCCTTTGAAAGCCTTTGTGGCAGAATAAGGTATATAAATCTGTCCAGCTTCTAGATGCAAGAAGGGCTCTAGGGAAGAGCTATTCCCTTTAACACCTGGCCCACGTGTGTGTGTGCATGTGCACACTTGGAACTTTAGACTAGCAGAAACTGCCTCTAAAATGAGCAGGCTGTGGGATACCTGTCTGGTGTAGGTGGTGGAGCATTTGACTCTTGATCTTGGGGTCCTGAATTCAGGCCCCACATTGGGCCTAGAGCTTACTTTAACAAAAGAAAAATAAAATGAGGAGGCTGAATATATGGCTGAAGCAAGAATCCCAGTATCTAAGGCTCTTTTTAATGGGTCCAAGGTGAATTGGTCATATTTGTGTTCAGGTCAGTTTTTTTCTCCGCTTCCATCTGACTTGGGTTAAATGAAAAAAGAGACCCATCACCTACCACGGTATGTTGTAGGGGTTTTTTTAATGTTTTTATTTCTTTTTTTTAATGTTTTATTTATTTCTGACAGAGAGAGAGAGAGCATGAACAGGGGAGGGTCAGAGAGAGAGGGAGATACAGAATCTGAAACAGGCTCCAGGCTCTGAGCTACCTGTCAGCACAGAGCCCGTTGTGGGGCTCGAACCCACGAACCATGAGATCATGACCTGAGCTGAAGTTGGACGCTAAACCGACTGAGCCACCCAGGCACCCCTGTTTTTATTTATTTCTGAGAGAGAGAGAGAGACAGCACGAGCAGGGGATGATCAGAGAGAGAGGGAGACACAGAATCTGAAACAGGCTCCAAGCTCTGAGCTAGCTGTCAGCACAGAGACGGACGCAAGTCTCGAACCCACGAACCATGAGATCATGACCTGAGCTGAAGTCAGATGCTTAACCAACTGAGCCACCCAGGTGCCCCAAAGTGTGTTTTTTACACAGACAACTGAAGTACACTCTAGGAATAAAAGATAGATATATATTTTTTAAGTTTATTTATTTATTTTGAAAGTGAAAACACGCATGAGCTAGGGAGGAGAGGCAGGGAGAGACAGAATCCCAAGCAGTCTTTGCACTGTCAGCATGGAGCCCAACACACTGCTCAAACTCATGAATCATGAGATCATGACCTGAACCAAAGTCAAGAGTTGGACGTTTAACGAATTGAGCCCCTCAGATGCCCCTAAAAGATATATTTTTTAAATAGTGGGTTGGATTTTCCCTCCAAATACAGACAAACGTATACTCATTGTAGAAAATGTGCTAAGTACAGAAAAGCACAGAGAAGAAAATTAAAATTACCCATACAATCCCATCTTCCAAATATCATATGGTTAATATTTGGCAATCTATAGGGCAATCCAGGAAGTCTTTATTGTCCTTGGATAGAGGAGTCAAGGGGACTTGTTTTCTCTGGAGCAAGTAAGCATCCAGTGAGACTTGCCAACAAGAAGCCTGAAGGTTGGTCTCCTCACTCCACCCCCAATCCCTCACTTGAGTCTCCTAAGTAAATAAATGAGAAAGACATAGATTAGAATTTTAGGAAATATCAGAAAACCCAAAACCCATTTCCAAAAGTCTTTAAAAGATTTCACTAGGGATTTACATTGCAAATTCATTCTGGGTGAGAAATTAATTTTGACACACTTATTAACAGTCATGCTAGGAAAGGAATGGAAATGAGAAGAAACTATGTTTTCTTTTTTTTTTTAATAATTAT